TAAAGTAATAATGTAAAATAATCAGTATGCATTTAAATGTTCCTTTCTGCATCACGCAGCACAACTACTTAACTCCCCAACACCTGCTTTCTTACAGAACTTCTCCTGTGAACTACAAGGCGCTTTTTCATATTTCTTTGTCAAATCCTAAGAAGCTTGCAAGCTTAACTAGGTCCTGTAAACTATCCAATGCTAAAAAATCCAGCATCTATCCCTAGAACATATCCAGCCACCAGGAAAATTCCAGCACACCTGTAAGTCACAGCACAATGAAAGCCAGTTGGCTGCAATTTTACCAAATCAAGTAACATGGTACAGAATGTGTTGTGAGTCTTCCCTATCCTTTTGTAGCTTGTGCCTTTGGGAGAGTCAGTTAACTTAAAGTTTACATTATTTTAAAATTTTTAAGTTACATTTAAGAAATATTGCAACATCATTGCTACCTCATTATAAAGGTAGCCCAGCTGCACACTTGACTAGATTGTTGGTCAAGCAAAGCGGGAGTAATTGTATTTTAACAAAATTAAATAACAACCTTGCCAAAACATACCCCCCATTATTTCTCAAATCAAGGAGTATTATGTGGAGCCTGATACCTGACAAGCTTAAATAATTATTTGGCCATAAGTCCTCTGAAGTACAGAAAAAAGCTTTTAAAGACCTTCTAAAGCACAGTTTGCCCATAAGCTGTGCTCATTTTTCCTTTAGTATGCACAAATTCAGTGCTAATACAGCTTAGATTCTCAAACAGCCTTTTTTTTCATATCAGTATCATGGTAACTCAGGAACTTAGATCCACACAATTAGCTAATCGGAGTATTGCCTCTTTCAAAGTATAGAAATAAATTTAGAAAAAAAAGGAGACAATTTTTATGTAACAGTACATTTATTACGGCAGAGTAATAGGAAGCCTGAACAAAACTACATTTAAAGCAAAGTGAAGTAGCTAAGTTGTAACTCCAGGAGATGACACTGACCACAAGAACAACCTCTAAGTCTGACATGGAAGGTCCTCGGTCGCATGCATCAATCTCCTTGGCATCACATGGATGTAATGGCTTGCGTCAGACAACCCGGGCGCCACTAACCTTGGTGCAGTTTGTTGCTGTTACCTTGACAGCAGATGTCAGATGAAGGGAAAGTAGCTGAGACACGTCACCACGCAAGTTTTGCTGGCTATCACAGGTGTACTGTGATGACGACATTATTTTCACAAAGGAGGTTGACTTCTCTGTGGTTGTGTAACCCTCTCTCCCTGCAGCCCCCGCCGAAGGCTCCCCAAGGCTTACCTGCCCGTACACCAACCATCGGCTCTGATACACCACAGCTGTGTACCCCAGACTCAGACTGCTGAGAAAGAGCTGCGGCAAAAGACTGTAGAAAGGTAAAAAGTGTAAAATTAAAGCCCCTGTTGAGACAGGGGTTCTTAGTAGTTCAAGAGGGCAAACACTAGTTTGGAAAGGTATAAAATCTTAATGGACAAAAAACCAGGGAAGCTAGTGAGTCTAGCCCTTCTCCTCCTGCCTGGTGGCTGCCTGGCTAGGAAAGGCTCTCCAAGTGCCTTATCAGGGTGGTGAGTATTTAGCCTAATAGCTTGTTAAATCTAGAATGTCTTTTGTGTGTAGTAACCAATTAATAGTTACTTTATACTTTTACATTCTATATATCCTGCTTGCAGAATCTCTTTGTGCCCAGGTAAAGATGCCCAAAGAAGCTGGTTCAAAAGAGGGGTACTCACAATAGGCATAGTATAAAAGCAAACAAAAAAAACCCCCACAGAAGACAGGCTTCATCAATTGACAGTGAAGCCCAAACTTGTCAGCAGCTGTACGTTTGATGTCCATGTGAACACCATCACTGTTTAGGGGAAGTGTCTGCTTTTGATTTTCTGAGATGTGTCATGGAAGTTTGTGTGTCATGCTGTTTGTAGAGAGCATGTGCCATCTAGTTTTTTCTCAATATCTACTAGCCTTGGATTGCGTGCAGACCATAAACTGTTCCAAAATATTGTATCTTCTGTGTGACGATACTCTAACAAACTTCTAGCTTAGTACTCTTAAAACAGTCCATAAACAAGGAGTCAGCTCAGAGATGGAATAGCTGCTTAACTGTATAAAATCATTTAAACATCCTTGCACTCTTTCTTTTTGACATAGAAGACAAACATCCAGGCGTATGCATTTTGCTTGCTGCACGAAGTATTGCCAGCATCTAAGTACAATAGACAAATTTAATTTTTCAGCACTAAGAGCTAAATTGCACTGAAGGGAGAAAAGTAAACCAAAACATGCTGAGAAGAGGAAAAACCAAGAAGTGCATTACAAGAAACTGGTATTTACTATGAACAGAACTATACATTAAGCAACTACTTCAAATAAGTCGATTTACACCAAACCAAAGATATTATTTCTTCTCTGCAGAATAAAGCCTTGAAATAAAAAGCTGATCCATAAGATTTTTATCACCTTCACCACATCTGTAAATGGAATGAAAGGACCCGTTAATTAGCTGAGTGGCACCTTGTTTTCGATGTGAAATGTGCAGCTTCTTCGTGATTTCTCGGAGAACTCTGCAAAGTCCCTGAGGATAAAAGACATTACCTTTGGACTCATCCACATGAGTATAATTTTATCTGGGTGGTCCTCCTAGGCAATGCCAGACCTTGCGATGTATGCTTAGCGTGAATAGCGGTGAGACGCACTCAGTAGGGTCTCTATACATTTTTAGAGCATAGCATGCTAAATTAAGAATTTTTATTAAAACAAAAAATGAGGTTATGAGTTTATTGTTTTCACTGTTCAACAATACAGAAAACAACATAATGCTTACCGTATTTATTTTCCTAAGTTTCTAAAACCTGTCCATCAAAACTGATTTCTGGCAAATTCAAAAGATCACACTGGCCCAAATATAATGGCTTTTTTCTTCCAGCAATTAAAATTTGAAAGAAATACACTTGTCTTACATTTGTTTTCAGACTATGTTTCTGACTAAGCTTTCGAGCCCTTTTAAAAACAAACAAGACCTAAGTGGCTGGTAAAAAGTGCAGCAAGTAAGGTCTTTGATGAACATGTGAGCTGGAACAGGAAATAGGTTCCACAGCAGAAATTCCAGGACCCCTTGCAGGAGGAAAACAAACAGAGGGGCCTGTGGCATCCTGCTTTCTTCCCTTCATACAACTGCAAGACTCCTTTGTATTTGAGACAATTTGGAATTTATTTAAAACCTCATTGGTACTTATACACCAGAAAAAACACTGTCAGCTCACAGAGGAAGGCTGAAAAAGGGAAAAAGCTGAAAAAGAAAATGTGTTTGGATTTCAGGTTCAGCAAGCTCCAGCTCAGACAAAGTGTGGAGGTATATCCCACCATCAACATTTGATTCCAGGACACAAGTAATTGCTAGTAAGTGACTGTCCTCAATTAAATATGCTTTGGGGTGCTCATATGAAATAGGTGAGGATAGTGGCCTACATAAGCAAACATTTATTTAAGAGAAAATCTTCAAAAGCATTTAAATCAGCACAGTAATACAAGAGCTTAATTAAGCTCACAACTGCTGATGGATTTTGGGTGTTACTGATACACAGTTATCTGAGCCTGGCTTGCTCCCTCCTTCGTGCTAGCATTAGCAAGTTACCCATCAGAACGGTTTGATTTTTTTTTCCCCTTTCCTTATGGGTCTGATACCCAGCTAGAGCAGTAAGCTGATCTGGAGGGCCGCAGTGCTTCATGATCTCTACAGCTGGCACAAGAGAAGCACTGCCCATTTTGGCAGCAACCCTATTTGGTAAGCCTAAGCCAAAGTGCATTTTCTGCTAGCGGCTGAGCACTTGCAGCTCTTGATATGAAATGCTCAGGCAGTGGCAAAGTTGATTAAAACCAGGAATTTATTCTAATGGCTTCTTTCAAGATAATCCTTACTGCCATAATGTATTGTTGCATAGTAAAAAGCCATCAAAATCCCTCTTCTGGGTAAGTAAACAGGTTCTGCTAGGATACTCCTCCTTACAGATTGTCTGCAGCCATGCACTTCAGAGGAAGAAAGGGACCATTATCAATACCCTTGTCTAAATTCCTACGTAATACATGCCAAAGAGACTCAGGCCAACAATTTCTGCATCAGGCTTTTGTTCCAAGCTACAGTTAGAGCCATAACAAACGCACATGGCAGCATTTCAAACAGGCCCTCTGCTCTCCTCTCTTTGCAGGCAGCCAAGCTCTTTGCAAGCATTTTCACACATTCTCCTGCCTGTGAGAAATGTAGGCCACAGCTTACCACAAGCAGAATGTGTGAAAATGCTTTTAAAAAGCCCAGCTGCTGGCCTGTTTTTCACAGACAAAGAGTGAAAGTCCTTTTAAATACCCCGCTGTCTTCCACCCTGTAAACTCTCCTTTTTCGCAAAGGGAACTTTCCCCTTTCCAGGGTGAAAACATCACATGGGCCATCTCCTCTGCCCCAGCGTGTGGTTGCTCTAGCACCACTCTTGTACTACCCTCACTAAGGCTCTGGCCAAACCATAGTACTGGATTAAAAAAAAAAAACCCACACCAAACCAACAAACAAACCCACCACAACTGTGCCTGCTTTTAGATTCTCAATATTTCAATGTATTCTTAAATATCAGTATTATCCATAATTACTTGATTCTTAAGTAAAAAAGTTGTAAATTGAAAGGAGTTATATTTGTTTTCATACAAGTAGTCAATCCAAATTAATTCCAATTAAGTGAATAAACAATACTCTGCTAAAGCTAAAGCAGAAATTCCTCAGAAATGGGGAATTTAAAATTAGCATAAAAGGTATGTAAGGTACAAATGAAGAAACAAATTTAATTACAAACCATAGATAGAGAATACTTCCTTGAATAATGCTCAGATTTTAATCCATGATCAAAATCCATGATTTTCACTATATTCAAAGGTTTCAAAGAAGAATTCCACTCAACATGGATAATAAAATGAGAATTTATTTTAGATTTCAAGGTTGCCTACCTGGGACTAAGATGCTGAAGGAATTGAACCTTCTTTCTCATTCGATTCTAATTTTGCTTCACATTCTTTTCAAGTATGATGACAATGCCTACAATATTGAGAGCAGATAAAGTATTCAAGAATTTTGCTGGATTACTTCTAACACAACCATATAGCATGCTGGCAAATGTTCTTGAAGAAGTAATCTCTTGCCTACGTTCTTCAATTGTTGTAATTGCTTTATAGGACATAAACTGCAACAGATGACACCTAAATGTCTCAACCAATAAAACCCCATTAATTATTAACTACCATTTCCAGCAATCACCAAAATATAATAGGATTTTCTAAGCAGGAAAAGACAGTCCTTGCCATTGTACCTATCAATAATGAGCAAACAGAGTTAGGAGCAAAGCGTATAATACAAAAGTGACAAATAGCCACTTTGTGTAACAGCATGTGAGGAAAAGTAATAGCTCTGTTATGTGGGGGAAGAATGGAAGTGGAGAGACATACGAACAATGAAGAAGCTTGCCATTATCAGTCAGGCATTTTCATAGGCATAAAAGCTCACATTGGTCTCGGGGAAAGGTGTGGAAAGAGAGAATGGTTTTGTGGGAAGGATTTTCGCAAATGTGTTTTGTGTGTGAAAGGTGCATAATGATAAGCCGTACTGGGAAAGAAAAGTAGTACTGGCAGCTGAAGGAGGAGCCTGGAAGGAAGTCAAGAGTGTGATTTGATGGGAAAACTTTATATGAAGTTTAGAAAACAATGACTAAAACATGGAGGTGACAGGATGCAACCATTGAGATCTATCATATGGTTAGAGTTGCAAGGTGGAAAAAATAGCCTTGCAGTTTGTGCTCTTCATGGGTTGGCATGACAGTATGAGGCTGGGCAGCACCACAGAGGAGGAGGCTGGAATGTGGGTCGAGATTGAAACTGTTGTTAAAATATGAGGATACTGTAAAAAAGAACTGCAGTGTATTTGGCCAGATGTATGGTACAAAGGAGGACTCAAAGGGCCAAGTGATATCATAGAAGATTGTGAGACACTTAGAAGCACAATACTAGATGAAAAGACAACGAGTAACTCTTGTTCCATCACAGTTAGAAGTATGATAATTGCATTTAAATAATGGTTTTCCTAATAACAGGCATTACACTGAGTATAATTTGCATTTTCTGAAGAATATTTAGTAGTTTCTAATACTGACATATATAGCCTAAGAATATAAGAGTAGTACCTCATGACCTGATCACAAAATTTAAATTCATATTTTTGCTGCATAATATTTTTACTATTGTAAAGCTATTTTGATCTAGGATTAATGATTTAAATAAGCACAAACCTTTTTTGTTGTGGACCAAATGGTACAATACCAATTTTCTGGAACTTTTTTTGGCATTCTCCTATGTATGACATCTTTCCAATGGCAAAACTTAAGACACCGGCAACTATGAAGAGAGGTAACAAAACATCATTAATACAAGAGCTTAAATCGAGAGTCTCCTATTGGCTCCATTTTAATTATATGATGAATTGTATGTAGCGTGTCTTCTCAAAACATGTTGCAAATGTCTGTGAAGTTATACAGGGATTACAGGGATGATTTCAATAGCTATTGAAAACCAGCTACCTATCGTGAGACATAGCAACTGGTCCAAAACAATGCAGACAGGAAAAGGATATCATATTCACCTGGAATTACAAGACTTCAGATTCAGAGGAACAGATTATAGAGAAAGCCCACAAGAAAATTAAATCACAATGTCAGCACTAATTCCTCTTGCCCTTGTATGCACACTATACTATTTCTGATGATCACAATTTTAACACACACTTTCTCAGGGCTTCTAAGAAGCTAGAACATCAGCCTGCCACACTATTGCACTGGGGCTTTCACTCATTAGACAGTCAGAATAAAAATATTACTTCAACATCCTCAATTTTCTGTTGAACTTCTGCTGAAGAGGGAATCAACTTAATTTCTTGCTATTTAAGAGCCACCTTACTGTACAGTTTCTGTGCTTTTATTTGTTTTCTTTACCAATGTTAAGATAAATCAGATGAACATACAAAAAGGAACATACTATTTTACATATACTATGATGGCCCCTTGATACCGTAAGATGTGTGATCTGCCAAGCATCGCTGATCAATGAGGCTGACATTATTTATAAAACAAAGGTGAGATTGGAGTTTTTACTAGTTTGAGAGGATATATTAAGTGAATATAAGCTACTACTGAAAATGTTTACATTAAAAGATCCTTATTTCAAACATTTATTTTTAAACACAGCAGAATTCTGATTTCCTAAAGTGCTGCGGTAACATCTCATAAACTCCAAGGAAGGAAGAGTTTGAAAAGAGATTCAGAGAGATGCATCCAAGGTCTGCAGATTGCCTGTAAATAACCTTTTTCCTTTTAGAATTGGGTACAACTTATTTGCCATCTTAGGTAATGCACCAAATTTTGGGCGTGCTGAGAAAATGCCTACAATAAAAGGATATATTCAGAAAACTTACTAATTTGAGCAACTCACCAGCACTCAAAACCAAAGACAGTATTTTTCTTACAAGCTTTTGCATTTCTGAAGGTGAAGACTGTACAAAAATCTTGTAAGTCCAGTAACTCATATTTAGGAACATCAGGGCACTTTCCACGCCACTAGTTCTCAGTGCATCTGTCTTGGTGCAGTCCTAGACTCACAGGAGGAAAATAATCTGGAGTTCGCAGGATTCGCTTCAGGCAGGGGTTCGGAGTGTAAATCAACATGAAAGCAGCATGGCTGCTACTGGTGACACTTGCAGCACTGCAGGAGGAGGAGATGGAGGCTTATGTTTCAGCACAAACCAACTTCGCAAATACAATAAATCTCTTACTCGGGGTCCAGCTCCTTGTGTTGTGAGAAGGAGGCTCAAACTGTTCTTCAGTAGTTTTCTATGGCTATTGATTAAATAGGGGGAGAGAAGAGAGAAGAGATCATGCATTTTGGCCTTTACGAGGAAAATACAGTGTGCTGAACATGAAAAACTAAAGATTAGCTTTTCCTACCAAAAGCCACCTCCCCGCAGTTAACACCAGGAGCTAGAACCACGATGCCTCTCCAAGCGTGTGTGTCTGGCAGAGGAGTGCCATGCTGTGGAGGAGGGCTCCATACAGCAACACTGCCATGGCAAAGGGAAGGGAAGCAAACACTGCTTGCACTGTTACATGCATTCAGTCAGTATTAATGAGGCTCAGAAGCTCCAGCTTCTTCTAGAGCCAGCGTACTGCATGCAGTCATCAGGGAGGAGTGTTTAGACAGAGGAGCATTCAGTCTATGCTGAGTGCAAGGGCCTTCGCCCACTGGCATCTACGCAATTTTAAATTGGGTCTTTCAGGGGAGGGAGGAACAAAATTGTTGTTTGTTTCTAAAGAGCCCCCGCCCCACCTTCCAACTACGGGCACACAGTAATAATTATTTCATGTGGGCATTTGTTATTTCACAGCTGATAAGAAATGTCGAAGTACAATGGAGAGAAACTGAGAAGAGTACCCGGTGCCAGAGGGTGGCATGTTAGCTACTGAGACAACCCCAGTGCCCTTCCTATCACTGCTCACCCCTTTTCAAATGTGTAAACCTTTCTTTTCAAAGGTGTAAACCTTTGCCTTCCCTCACACGCTCTCCCTTGCTCCTTCCCTTCCCATCTGCCTACAAGCTCCTAGGTCAAGGATGCAACAGGGAACCCATGTCAGCCTCTTGTGGTATATAAAGCACAGCTTTTAGGTTTTCTGCTCTAGTCCTCCTGATCATTTTAGTAAAAAAAAAGAATGCGATCAGGAGGAAACATGGTAATAGTGGCTGGAACAAAACAAAGGGGCTTGCAACCACACACAGTGAGGAAAGGCTGAGCCACTTCCACCTCTTCCATTTGCTGTTGCCCACCACCCATCCCTTATAGCCACTGGATTCTTTTCTTCTTCTTGCTTGAGGGCCTGTGTTTTGTCTCTTCTCCCACTTGCCCTTGCTGTAAATGGCTGCTGCTGCAGGCTGAAGGACTGTCTTATTTGCTCCTGTGGGACACACCTATCTTAGCAGTCTTCAGGGTGGAAGCCCCTTCACTCTTTACCCAAAATGCTAACCTCAACCTTATTATTAAAGACCCCCAGAAGGGAAACTTAAGGTGCAGTGTGTAGAACTGGGCTCATCCACCACATAAATGGAATACAATTCTCTTTTGTGTTAGCCTGCAGATCGCAAGCCATCTCTGTAAAAAGCTCTCTGTCTCCTCACTTTGGCAGTATTCCTTGCCCCTTTACACCAAAGCTGTATTCATATTGATATGTGGTCACTGTAAAAACATTGCCAGCATTTCTCAAGTAAACCAACAATTGGAGCTACAGTGTGCAAATCTGATGCCCCTGCTCAGGTTGTACGATGCTCTGCCCTACAAGCAGCCCCAGTGAAGACTCGACTCAAATACATGTGATCATGGTGACGGAATCTAGCCATCAGTCTTTGAATTAATAAATTCTCTTTTCAGTTCACGTTCTTTCAGAAGAATGACTGTGGCAAAGCATACATAATGATCAAATCACTGTAACAATGATGGTGATGAGTGAGAGGAATATTGAACTTGAAAAACAACAGGCTTTAGGGAAACTTGCATTTCAGTAGTAATTCTAGAGTCTCAACTTCATAACTTATGACCATCATGTATTTTTTATATTTACCTTTTGAGACTAGCTCCTGGGTGACAAGCATACTCCCAAGAGACAAAGGAAGAACTGTAAAAATAAAAAGGAGGAGTATATCTGGTATCAGCCAAAATTTGTTACCCATTTGTTAAATACATTACCCTCTCATATGTTAAATGTTTTATATGTTAAATGTTTAATATGTTTATAATGTTAAACACATTACTCATCTTCTAACCATCAACTTTGCATACTGTCTTAATCACCTACACATTCAGATTACGATCTCCTCAAAGCAAAGATGTGTTCACACAGTGCCAGACATCAAGCACGCTGTAGCATCTGGAGCTAATGAATTATATATATTTATTAAACAACAGCTTCCATAATCTGAGTATCTCCTCTCAGTACTGCAGCACTGGTAACGACAGCAGCTCCAATTAAATGCTGAAACACTTTTCAATCTTCTCCTTTCAGAAAAATGTATAATATAGATAAAAAACTGACATGGTGGACTTAAAAGGCACTAAAACACTGAGTAAATACTATTTTAGATGACCTAACACCTAAAGAGTTTCACAAACCCAAGACACATAGCAGTGCCTGCCTTTCATTCAAAGGCAAGAATAAGTATGTAATAAAGTAAAACATTCCTAAGGTTGTTTTAATAACGGACTTCAAGAATAGAACCAACTCTATGATTGTTAAAGTAAGTTCGTATTAAACAAGACCTTAATTCAACCACCTTTACCTATGATGATTATGTAAGTAATTCAATTAACCCTATAATAACATATTGCTCAACTTAAGGTGACAGAGTTAACCCACAATAATATTCCAACAAAACCCAATGTATTACAATAAATGGCATGGCATTTTGCATAACTACATCAAGAAGTCATTCTCAGTGTGATAAGAACAAGTTTGGATTGCTCACCTCTGTACCAGAAACTTTCCTTTTTGCATTCTGCATGGATCCTTGTAATTTCTGCAGCATTGTGAGTTTGTGAGATGGGACAATAGAACATGGGCTGAAAGGATAAACCTGGCTTAGCTTATTGAATTTAATCTCACAGGAAGAAAAAAATAAATCAATTAAAGAAGACAAATTATTTAAAAACCAAATAAAATACAATGCAAAAACCAACCAAACAAGCAAAACTCCTTGGTCGGTTGTTAGCAGCGTGATGAAATACTTCATACCCCAATATAGAAAAAGAAGGAACTATATAGGTTTTAAAGTTAAAACCACTCATCTTGTTGGTCTGTAAATAGCTTAGCTGCTGCTTACCCCAGAAGTATATAGTTTTATTTCTGTTAGCCATTTCATTCTTATGAGCTACATCAGCTTTCTGGAAAAGAAATTACAGGAAATAAAGGCAGAGTGGTAGTTTCTAAAAATGAAGTTCTGCCCCATACAGAAGTCAATTTAAGTTCAGTAAGAGTACATTTTGCAAGTATTCAGGAGAGGGTCAACATAAGCTCTGTCAGATTCCCCTAACTAGCCTAACTTTCTCTCTGAGCAGTCTAAATATATTCATGGCATTAGCTGAACTCAACCGTAGTGGCTTCACCTTCATAATAATTCGCTTGCTGACAGGCTTCTTTTAGGCTAATGGTAGCTCTTTTTTTTTCCCATTTTGACTGTGAGAAAAAAGTGACAGTATTCTCTCTTGCATTCTACTATCCAGGGTATTGACATGTGGATGTAAGTACATTATTTTTCTTTCTTTAAGAGATGACTTGGTTATCAGTGTTAGCACTTGTAGTATCATTATTTGACATCTAAAATATATGGGTGTACTGGTTTTGGCTGAGAGTTTATTTTCTTCATAGTAGCTGGTATGGTGCTGCGTTTTGGATTTGTGACCAAACCAGTGTTGATAACACAGGGATGTTTCAGTTATTGCTGAGCAGTGCTTGCACAGAGCCAAGGCCTTTTCTATTTCTCAGGCTGCCCTGCCAGCGAGCAGGCTGGGGGTGCATGAGAAGTTGGGAGGGGACACAGCTGGGACAGCTGACCCCGACTGACCCAAGGGATATCCCATACCATATGATGTGCTCAGCAATAAAAGCTGGGGGAAAGGAGGAGTTGTCGTTAAGTTAAAATTAGTTGAAATTTTAACATTTTTCTGTAAAACCACGACCTCTACAAACATACCTATTCTTGAAAGCAAAACCAGACTTCACAGAACAAGCAGTGCCTTGGGAAAAAGAGCACATTAGTCTGTTACAGGATTCCACCTCATTTTATGCCCGACTGATCCATGATTTTGTAACCATAATAATGAAATGCATTTATTGGCTGCAGCCACACATTTCACATTTTAGCTAATTAATATCTGAGCCCTTCTTCAAGCACTGCTCCCACTGAAGTTAATGGTGGTGCTGCTTGGGTAAACAGTAGAGAACTGACTCCACTCCAGACCCTAGAGAACCACTCCAAACTGGTTTCACAGCAAGGTCACAGCAAATACAATAAAATCCAAACAGGCTGAGTGAAAGATAAGGAAATGAGTGTCAGGGCCCTAAGTGCACCAACAGGCTTTGCAACCTTTCTGTCCTTACACACACCCTGCCAGGGGTTTAGTTGCCTGGGCTCAAAGTCAGCTCTAATATAGTAACACTGAATTAGGCTGCTGTGAAAACAGCAAAACTGGGAGAAAGAGCTGCAAGAAGCTTTGCCCAGGGCCCCTGCCCCTTGGCTCAGGAGCTGCGTTTAAGCTCAGGCCCTCGCCTTAACTGTGTTGTAGGCATGCCCGTACCTGCCATTTTACCATGATTATCCCTACCTTGCCTTGCTAACTTGACGTCCTGGCTTACCGACAGACTTGCCTTATTGCTATGGACCTGCCCAGCAATCACTGGACCAACTGCTGGCTGACCCCAGTTAACATCACTGCATCTGCTCTGCTCCTCTTTTTGGGATACTGTGGGACTGTGCTCCTTGTCCCTGAGGTCACAGCCCCTGCCCACCTCGCTGTCACTTGTGGCTCCTGGGTCACCTTCCCTTGCAGATAAGCCCACTTTTGCTGCTCTCTGACAGTGGCTGGTTAGCACCAAGATCATACCACATTTAAATTCCTTGTGGGAAATTACATGTTTATAGCATAAAATGGTAAAATTTGAACCCACGTGGGTAGCTGATTTCTCCAGCAGAGGGGAATGCTCATCTTCCGTACAGCTGGAGGGCAGGTTCTTGTGCAGTACTGGTCCCTTCTCCCCCTCTGAATACATATGCATGCACATGCACAACTTGATGGGGACAGGTTATACTGGACACTAGGGCTCTGCCAGTTCATAACTAGTTTAACTAGCATAGCATAAATCAGAGCCCACTATCTTAAGACTCAAAAGCTCCTAGCCCTCTGAGTGTAGTGAATCAGGAAGAATAACACATAGCCCTTTCGTCTCTTCATTTATATGCTTAAGCTAACAGACACCTGTTTCTCTCTTCAATAAGAGCCACCAATGCAAAATCCCAGCTATTCACTAGCAGTAGCGTCAAAAGGGAGGAAATGCAGCTTACCCCTGCAGTTTGCCTTAGTAGAGATGGAGATGTCTGACTTTCCTGTTGGGTTGTTTTGGAAGACATTGTCTCTTTCCTTCTACTCTGCTGCCGATCTTGGTCAGCAGAAATTACATGTTTTATGCTTGGCTACCTGTCTTTCTGCTAGGTACAGAAGTAAAAAGCCAAAGTATCATACTGATACTGTAAGTTCAGTGTTCACCTAGAAATAGTAATGACCAAGTTCAAAGGAGTATATTTTTTTCACAGCAGACAGCATCCAGTCACCTGATTATATACAGTTTACAGCACAGTGTATCACTTGTTACCAATACACAGTTGTACGTAGCCTAATTCAAACAGGGAAGTCGGTAAGTACAATCAGATGCTGGATCATGACCTAGCACAGCACTCTCAACCACAAAGAAATGAGAACAAATATGAGCAAGTCATCCAAAACCTTTCTAATTTTTATTGTACTGCAGGTCAAAAATTTAGCTTCTTTAGTGTACTGTCCAGAATCGCTGTACTACTTCTATCCTCACTGCCATCATCTGAAGTTTTGATTCCACAGGACCCACAATGCAAGCCTATCACGAACCACATCTCTGTTTCCAACAAACACAATCCAGTTACAAACATGCTTTAAAAAAAAAAAAAACAAACTGTAAGAATAAATAGATTCCAAAGAATTTTAGAGTTGCAGTCTTCCATGCCTGAGAATCATGCTGCTAGGGAAAAGTAAGAAGGAATCACATTTATTTCTGAAGTAATTTAAACATCTAAACTGTGATTTTTTTACCTAGCACTTTGCTGCATGGTCTGGCACTTTATTTATCAACATACAGGGCACCACTGCTTTTCAAAAAGTACCTTCTGAGAATGGTGGCACTGACCAAGGCTAAAGTGACTGCGAAGGACAGAGTTAAATAGGAAACATACGGAACAATGTAATAACCTGAATGGTTTTTGGCATTCATAATATTACTATATAAACCACTTCCTGCATTTACTTTGGGGTCAGTTACACAGCTACAAAGTTCAAGCAGTGTCTGCTTCACACACACTGGATATTCAGACAGCAATGCTTTTTTAAGTGATCATGGGACAGAAGCAACACAACCTGCTCTCCCCTTGGTAAAAAGACTCAGTTAAGCATTGCATTCACATCAATCTGCACTTTATTCTCAGCCACTCTTAAAATTGACAATGACCACTGTGTCTTTGAAAAAAATTAAGTTTGAAAATCCTCATAATGTTGGGATAGCCCACAGCTCTTCACTGTCTGCCTCACCCTGACTAAGAGCAATTTAATTTTCCATCAGTCTCTTGTCACTTAATGCAAAAAGGAGATAAAAGATGAGAAAAATGCATAAAACTCTGAAGGGGTTTACATCAATCAAAGACACAAAATTTTCTTATTATCTGCCTTCTTATTCTTATCTGCTCACGAAGCCTACCTGTGCAGACAGTTGCATAAAAAGCATCACTGGCAAGTACTACTGACTGATAGGTTTCTAACTGCTGCAACAGATTTTAAGTGGTCATCTTTTCCATGAGGATAAAAGAAGCTGAGTCACTGAAGAAAGTAAATAAAACAAAAAACCAAAAAAATTAAGGAGCATAAATTAGGTTATAAAATTTTGCAGCTTGCCATTAACCCCCTGTATTGACTTCAGCATACATTTCTCCAGAATTAGAAGTTATTCAGCTAAACTTCCACTTCAACACAACAAAGAATCCCAAAAATATGTACCCCTTTAAGCAGCTGCCTGGTACCTCTCCCACTTGGAATGAAAGCTGAAAGCTATACTGGCAAGAACGAAGCAAAGGGACAGAGTCGAGGTCATCAAAATATTATTTAATTGAATTATTAATATTAGTACTTAGCACACGTGCTGCCTCCTAACTGAGGAACGTAAAAGTGTTCCAGTATTTCGGGGCATTGTGTCTTGGAAAGACAACTGTCATCCCAAAAAATAACTTTATTTGCATTGACCTATTGAAGAAACGTAACTTTCTTGCATATTTTTACTGGGAAACTTATTGCTGTTTTCTCACCCTAACAATTATATGTTAGCGTAACAATTAACTGTATATTCTCTTAGCTACCTTGGGAGGAATTCCCCAATGATGTTATTCTTCTGTTTAACTGAAATACCTATATAACACATGATTAAATCAATGTGGTTTGCAAGGATCAAATATTCAAAAAACTTACTCTACAAGAACTGCTCTGGATCATTGACTCATTTACAGAAGAAAAGGCTAATATAAGACTCCTGAAAAGATCTCATGGTTTTGATTCTTCTAACTGGTTGATGAAGAAGCAGTATGCAAGAAGATAGCTATGTTTTTCGGATGTGAGAATTGCCAACTTCAGATATTCTGTTTTCAATAAGAAGCCTCCTTCCAAATAGGAATGGTGACCATGTAATTTCTAAGATTACCTGGGGGAGAAGGTGGGAGCCTGGGTTGCATGTGTTAACCAGTATACACAGTTGGCTGTGATCTACAGCGGCGGTAACTGCGCATTTGCCCAGGGCAGGTGCCACTGGAGTACAATGATCACCGTGACAACTCATTAGGACTTCAGAGAGACCCTTCAAGGGCTGAGCGTCCATTGTGAGGAAGAGGGGAAGGCTCGCAATGATGTTTCACACGTATCTTCTGAACTGGCACTTTATTTTAAATCCAGGCTCTGATTTCGAAGGAGAGTCAACAGAGCAGCTGCGCTCGGTCTTGGATGAAAAGCTCCCTACCAACAACTGGGTGGACGCCACGAAGCGGGGCAATACCTTGCGCTTGCCCAGCCCTGCAGCTGCAGCACCTGCTCAGAGGCACTCATCCAGGGCACAACACGCCCGGCTATTGCTTTGTGCTTGCTGCTTGCTCCAAGAGCCAAGTCTGTGGCTGGGGACGTGCAGAAGGCGGGCAGGC